GATTTAGATACAACAACACAACTGTTTTCTCCACCAGGTAAAGTTCTTTACATGCCTGTGTTTATATAAATGTAAAAGAAAATAGATTTGAGAACATATAAATATGAATGAAAAAGTTGCTTTTTTCTGCTTTTATTTATCATCATCAACATCGTGACAAGCAACATCAGCCTATACGGTTGTTAGGAAACGACACATGAAGATTTTTTCTCTATTTTCTTTCTCCTCACTTTCGATTTTTTTAGAAAACTTCCTGATTCCCAAAATTTTCACAGCGTAAACTTAGGGAAAATATACTTTTTATTGTAATAAATGTAGACCTATTTTTTCACGGAAAATTCTTTATTTCGTAAGAACTTAACTCTTTAAGAATTCCTTTTTTTTAAAAAAATCTTAATTGAAGACCAGTTTTATATAAATATATGATTTATTCAGATACTTTCTTTGTTCATTTTACAGAAATAATTTCAAAAAAAAATTGTATTGATCAAATATTTAGAAATTATAGAGTCTTCCTTTTGATTAAGTGAATATTATGTCTTGAAGAAAAAAATATATATATTTTATTATGTTCAGGTATATTTGTTGGATGTTATCTTGTTGAAGCAGTTTTACAAAGTGATCTAAGATGTTTCTTCGATATTGATTGTTTACACCAGTTGATCGATAGTTTATCTTTAGTAAATATCAGTGCATCGGATATTATTTTAAATTTAACAGCAAGTCATTATCAAGAAAAAAGTTCTTTATTAGAAATTGTTTCAAACTTAATGGTTGAAGAATGGAATAATCAAACATCTTATGATAATTATTTTAATATATGTCAACCATCAGTTTGTACAGCAACATACATAAACCGTGGAAATATTGTTTATATTATAACAACAACTATAGGATTGATTGGAGGATTAACAACAGTCTATAAATTTGTTGTACCAATATTTATAAAGATTATGGTACATGTAATCATTCCGTTTATACGAAACAAATGTGGTAGGAACAATAATGGAGAGATATGATAGAATGGCTGGTGAATCTTTGACTTTTCTACTTCACTTTTAAGTCAATGTTGTCTTGCATATTATTTACATTAATAATAATAAAATGATTTTCTCACATATTGTTCATTTTTAAACTATGTAAAGTCATTTTATTATTGATTAATATATCGCTTTATTTTTTTTTCTTCTTCATTTGCTTAAGTTCATTCTATGTCATATTTTAAATATTTACTTATTCTCTTACAATTTTATCTAAATACTCCTGCAAAATATAAAAATATATGATTAATGTAAAAATTTCAAAGTTAAATCAAAGAAAATGGATGATAATGATGAATTTTGACAATTTAAAGGATAACCACCTGCCATCGTGAGGGTGAATGCGGGTGTGAGCTAAGATAAGAGATATCCACACCCGTTTCTTTTGTTTAGTTTCATGCATATAACTAGTATACAATTGGATTAGAACAATGATTTAATTACTTAACTCTTACTAGCAACTATAGATATACTCAATTCGA